AGGAGAGGGAGGGGGAGGGGAGGAAGAGAAAGGAAAAAGAGAAAGAAAAATAAACAAGAAACTCAAAAGCTATAAAACAAAACAGAAGAACTGACCTTGGGCTTGCTGTAGCATAAATTAGTGACACACAAAAGCCTTCAATTCTAAAACAGCATGGATACAAAGTTTTATCGCATGTGTGCTGAGAATTGGTAGGCTATAACCTGTTCCGTTCAGGTGCCCACCCTAGCCCCGGACAAGAGTAGCCAGTGTGAAAATGTTCTCAGGAAAGCAGCCACATAATTTTAGCCTTGAGCGCTGATATAATTCTAACTGAAAATGACATTTTTTGCCAGTGTGCCACTGCTTGGGTGATTCAGTGGTCAATGGCGTCATGTGCTTGCTAATTCTAGACTGGCTAGTGCTGGGAAACTTGTATTAAAAAGATGATTTTGGTTGTAGGAGGCACTGTGGTCCTGTTAAGCAAACAGGAACTTGAGGCGGCACTCTGTGACAGTTAAGGTTTCATGTCACAGGAATGCTAATTGTTCATTCCTGAGTTAAAAATGAATGCACTGAAAAGATGTGAACTTTCTAGGTTAGGGAACCAACTAAAAAACATTTGCATTTGCGCTTGAGCCTCATAGCTGCAGCCAGTGGCCAGGAAATGATACTGCTCGCCACTCTTGTCAGGGCTGGGTCCTGAATTCTGAGAGTTTTGAATCCCTGGGGGCCTTGAAGAATGGGACAGAAACACTCACACACACTCCCACCGGGCCGGGATCCCTTTGTCCCCTTCCTCTGGGTTCTAAGTACTATTTAACATTAGCGCTTTGCTCAGATCGAACAAAGCCTGCATTTTCAAAATAAAGAAGGGCCAAGGAGGGGCGAATGTTTACACGCAACGCAGTGCAATGCAGGCAACTGCTGTGACATGGACTGATCCATGGTGATAAATGCTTTAGGCTCAGGTCTGTAAGTGGTGAGCGACTCAAGTTTGGGCCCCGTGGAGTCTTAGAGCGAGAGGAAAATCATGGACGTGTTTTGCATTTTCTGAGACAGGTGTTTCCCCCTTTGAAGTGAACAGTTCCTAGAGCTCCAAGCGTTATTTTCATGAGGTGAGTACCTGCAGTCTTCAACTCCCACAGTGAGGTTGGTGACCTTAGTGTAACCATCCGGGCACTTGGCTCTAAAATTAAGGGTGCAGGGTTGACACTCGGTCCGGAATGTTAGGACAGACTTCTTATCACATCGGTTTCCCTGTGCAGACACAACAAAGAACACCGGTTCCCATTAGCAGAGCCCAGAGACGCGCTGGCCGGCCCAGTCTTCCCCTCTCTGGGTGATGTTTGGAAAGCAGGCCATGCGAGGTCTCCGGGCCTCAGGGATGGTGTTTCAGCATCGATGCCACACGTACGGGGCTCAGGGCCCAGCGTGCTAACTGCTGTGCTCCCTCCTGGTCCTCTTGCAGAGAGGTCTGCCGGCCAGGGTGACAGCCCAGAGGGCTGGGCCCTGTTCTGTGTTCCCCAGTGCTGCAGGCCGAGTCCCCGGCAGCGTGTGGTGCACAGTAAAGCCAGCGACTACTTGTTGATTAAGTGCACAAGCTGGGGACATCAGAAGTCCCACTAGAGACGGACACTTAGCAGCTCAGGGAGACACAGAAGTAACTGCTGCTTAAGAACATCTGGCAAGAGGGCTCCGGTCCCCTGCTCCACGCTTGTCACAGCTCATCCTGCCAGCCCAGGGCTGTGAGGCGTGGCAGAGATGTCCCTCATCCCACCGCACCGCGTGAGATCCGCCCAGGAGGAAACCTTGCGCTACGGGACGGCACTGGCTGTGGGCACTCCCGGGGACATTATTTTGCGTGAACTTCGTGTTCCAGAGGTAGTGAGGGCCAGCATTGGAACGTCTTAGGGGAACCGAGCCAGCGCTGGGGCAGGACTTGGGCGAGGACGCACTGTTTTCTGGAGCCTTACATAGCCCTTTTTCTTCCCCACGCTCAAGTAGCATGTGGAAAATTGCATTTCTGTTTTTTTTTCTGTAAGCCTTCATCTGGGGATCCTTACAAATGAAAACAGCACTAAATATGGTTTGCAGATTGGTAGAAACCACATGTGGGCACCATGTGAATTAATCCCCCTTAGCTGCAATGACCCCTTTATCTTTTTTCTCTCTCTCTTTGTTTTTTGTTTGGTTTTGTGAGACAGGGTCTCACTATGTAGTTCACTACGTACCCTTGAACTTGCTCAGTAGCCCAGCCTGGCCTCAAATTTGTGATGATCCTCCTGCCTCAGCCTCCTGAGTGCTGGGATTACAAGTGTGCACCACCACGCCCAGCTACTATTTTTTTAAAACGGGCTTTGTCTTGGATAGGTGTATAGCCTGACATTATTTTGACATTTCTTTCTTACCAGGCTGAATTTGCTCTCTTTTAAAGAAATCCCTTGGCCTTCTAACTGCCTTTTTTGAGCAGAATGGCTCATTTCCTTGTCCTTCAGTATTTACAGTCATAGCCCCTCTGAAAAGCAAGCTCAGCTTTAGCTGAGGCGGGGTTTCTGCAGCCAACACTTGGTGGTGAAAATGCTGGTGACTGTGGTTGCACCATCTGAGGAGCAAGTTCCGGGGGCAGCTGAAGCCAAGAGGTGCTACGTGACTAAGCAGTGCCAGAGGTGCGTGCAAATTCAGCCCCGTCTCCCGCCCCAGGTGGAATGATAATTCCATCCTCTGTGCTTTGATGAGAGGCGTTATCAGAAGGCACCCAGTTGGAGGGCTCTCACTGGTAAGAACTTGCCTGGTCCACGTTTAAGACGGGGCGCCCACATCAGACACTGCAGTGCATTTTAAGTCAGTCACCCAGACTGCTCTCCTGATACCGCCCTGAACCTGTGTGACCTGCTCCTGGGTCCCGGGAGCTGACCCACTAAGCAGGGGCAACCAGAGCAATCGCCCAGCTCTGAGAGAGGCAGAAGGGGTGGACCAGCACCCAGCCCAGTGGGTTTCATAAACATTTCTGATATCTCTGTTCCTCATCAAGACATCATCACCCTGGAATTCCCCAGAACATTTCTCCACGGACATATTTGTGTTCTGCACTTGGAGATGCAGCATGGCAGGGATTCACTGTGGTGAGGCCACTGAAATAAACAAAACCCAGAATACACAAATCCGAAAGAGGAAAAGGAACGTTAGCGCTAGAGCCACAGGTTCTCATGGCAGAGGTCAACTAGGGACAGAGCCAAGGGGTCGGCACCGCTTCAGCACCAGGGCGCATCCCCACTGGGCCCTCTTTCTTTTGGTTCTGGGGGTCCAGATGGGACCCTTCACCTACTCTAATATGGGAAGACAAACTGCCTTCCAACACATCATGAAAACGAACAACTAAAACATGCGAAAGTTTGGTCTTACCTGTCCTGTGGCTTCAGCCAGGGAACAGGAGTTTGGTGAAACCAAGCCTAGCAAGATAATCACGAGACGCCGCAGCATGCTGGGCGAACCCATGCTCCCCCTCCGCATCAGGCACCTGTCAGAGCCCTGTCTATTCTACTCCCATTTGGTGACTGCCCAGCGAGATCGTCCTCATTTCAGGGTTTGCTTTTAAATCCTTTCCTATTCCTGGATTGAGCCAGAAGTGATACAGGACCTGCCAAAGACAGGAAGAATGGCAAGTTCAGGTCTTGGCCAAATGGGTCGGAGCAGGATATGTGTCCTTGTTGAATGACAGGATTTCCTGAAGGGCCAGGGAGGGGGGCTGGACCTGGAATGTTTGTGCCTTGTGGAACTCCCAGAGCGGGTCCTCCTCCTGCTGCTCCCACCTGCGCTGGGCCCACCGGTCCCAAGCCCCGGGGCCCGTTCTGTCCCACGCCACAGAGCACCGGCTCTGCCTGAGGCCAAGGCTCCCACCCGCGGGGCAGAGTCCAGGAGCACTGTGGAAACTGGGTCCCCGTCGGGTGGCTCTGCCTCACGTGGTCGGCTGACTCCTTGGAGATGCTGATGGTTGCATTCTCGACCCGTCCTGCCTTCTCTTCGGGTCACTCTAGGGACTGAGCCCGGAGCTGTGACCTGGCCCTTCCAGGCCCAGGCTGATGCCACCGCTCTGGGGAGCCGTCTGCCTTGCTCCTTCGCGCTGTGCTCAGGGCTTCCCAGAGCCTCGCACACAGCGCCGTGACAGCCAGGCACATGGATCCTACTCCATCTGTCCATGTGTCTGTCGCCCGCACCGGCGCTGAGTTCCTGGAGAACAGGGGCACAGCCTCACCCACTCTGTACCCCTCAATGCCTGGGGCTGAGCTGTTTCCCAAAAGAATCAAAGCAGTCATAAAAAAGCCAGAACTTTCTGGAAACTTCTGTGTGACAGTCGTTACTCTAGACCTCTCTGCGGATTTGTTTGTTTAATCCTCACAACACATGGTAAAATACTGGGGATTATTCCTCCCACTCTGCAGGTGGGTAAACTGAGGCAGAGAGGTAGGAAACTTATCCTGGGCACTTAGTAACGGCCAGGTGTAGGTGGGGAGTCCAGTATGGAAACCGTGGTTCTAGAGGTGTTCCCGACCACACTTTACTGCCCAAACACTAAATATTTCACAAATAACTGAACAGCGGTGAGGTTCCAGTATGGATGGGAATCAGGATGGACAGGAGAAAGTCTGGGCTTAGCAACAAATGGGCACGGGAGGACATCGGGGACACCGAGCTCCTCGGGGACACTCGTGCGGCTCTGGGGGCCAGGTTCAATTCAGAGAAGTGACCCTTCCTTCTCCACAGAGCCTCCCTCCCTCTCTCTCCGAAACGTGATATTGCGTTGTGTTGACAAGCGATCTAGGAAGTGTTTCCAACACAGGCCCGTCAGGGTCAGAGTCTAGAGGCTCTAATGGGAAGATGCTCACAGTCCCTGGGTCTCAGCCTTGGCTGTGCATTAGAATCCTGGGGGTCTTAAGCCCGGTCCATCAGAGCTACTTCCTACTGCTGACATCAGAGCTCTGGGCTTGGGGCCCAGGACGGAGTCTTCACGTTTTCCTGCACGATTTCACCTGCTCCAGGAGAGACCGTGGCTGATTAGATTTGTGAGATCATCTGTCCAGCGGCCTCCACTCCAGCTAAAGCGGTAAGGAAACGGCTGGGAACTTCTTCCTGACTCTTGTCTTTGGAGGATGTAGGTGTCTGAGGCTTGCAACGGGCTAGATTCCAACTAAAATAATAAAATGAATCCACAGCAGCATTTCCTAAATAGTGTTCACCAGATGCTCTTTGGGTCCGGGAGACATGGTGGGCTCACTGGGTGTCTCAGGAAACCCTTTCTTAGGGGTGGGCTGCTCTCCTCAGGCCAGCCAAGGTTCTGAGAACTCCTGCAGTAGAAGCCAGGTAACAGCCACCCAACTTTAAGACAATGCTTCCAAACTTTTAAGAGCAAGAGATCATCTTGTTTTTGCAAACTCAGATCAGCAGCCTCCAGATCTGATGCTCTAAGGCCCCCTTGTAGGGAGAAAGCTGCTTTCGACTGCAGCAGGTGGGCCATTTGATGGTGGAGCTCCCAGGAAGCTGCAGTTAGACCCATGCATCGGCTTTAGCAAGTAGATGCATTCAAAATACACCTACAGCATCGATCAGAAATGGCCTGAGCAGCTGTGCTGACGGATTTTCATTCTGAGAGGCCCCTGCCAAGCCATGGGTGTCACCGTTAAGGCCTGAGGGTGGCTCTCCCCAGCCCTCTCTGTCTTCCTCATGTCTTCGCCAGTGTTGCCTCCTCCGTTCTTGTGCCCTGGACTCTGGGGAGGCAGTGAAAGGGTGCAAGGTTCCTCTTGGGTGGCAGGAGGAGCTTCCCACCGAGATCCAAAGTCTTCTCTTGTTGGCAGAGGAAAAGAAGGCAGTGGCGGCCGTGTAGGGTGCCTCGGGGACGACGCCCAGGCTCGGGTGGCTGCTGGCTTCTGTGTCTTCATGCAGAACCGCTGGCGCTGTGCTGACTGCCCTTGCTCTGTGGCCTGCTCATTCCTGAGTCCCTCTGGATGAGAAAAGGTTCTGTGTGTGCTTTGAGGGACGTGATGTTCACCTCCTCACCAGCACTGTCATCACCCAAACTGACAGAGTTTTTCTCGCAAATTCGTTCAACTTATCGAATTTAGCGGAGAAGCTTAGCTCACTCTTCCTATTGTTTTAATAATTACTTAAATTTCAGCTATTGGATGTAACCTGTTAGATACTCTCCAAAGGCCCGATGTGTAAAAGTACTGTTACCATTCCCATTTTCCAGCTGAGCAGACTGAGGCAGCGAGAAGGACTAACAGACCTGGCTCGCAGTGCCTTCGAGCGGTGGTGCAGATGCTGCTAGATGCCAAGGCCTTGCTCGGACCTCACTTGCTTTCTGTGCACTGTGCACAAGCTCCTGTCAGACCTGGGCCATGGCCTGCAGCCTTCAAATTTGTCAGTGTGAAGCAGGACACACAGGGACCAGTGGCATCTTTTGCTTTGCAGGAAACCAACCAACCAACCAACCAACCACCAACCAACCAAACACCAAGGCAGAAACGGGGGGTAAAGTCTGAGGTGAATTTCCGGCTATAAATGTACTTTCTCATTCCTTTGGCAGCTTTTGCTAAACTGAAGAACAGTATCTCAGAACAGCAGCTAGGTATTTATGATTCTTGAACATCTATCCAGAGCACTGCAAAATTTGCCTTTCCCCTGGCCCAGTAGTTTCCAGAATTTTTTTTTTGGGAAGGGCCAGTTTTATGAAAGGGACAAGAGTAAGTCCTCACAAACTCTCAGTAGGAGAAATCACTGGGGGTGATTTGGAAGTCTCCCCACCCACCTTCTTCCACAGCTACTCCAACCAACAGAGAGAACTCTCAAAATCTTGCTTCCTGATTTCAAGCAGCAGGAAGGGCGCTCGCCCGGTCAGAGAGATGGTTTTCTGCCCTCACCTGAAGGTTTCTGGGTGAGTGGGTGTTTTTGGTGGATTCCAGTTTCAGTAAACAAATAGCTCAGTGTGTCAGTCTGTTGGGCTTTCTTCTTAGTCCTCGGCTAGGATTCTTGGCACCTGGAGCTTCTTGGCCTGAGTACAAAATATTGTCTTCTCTCCGTCCCATCTGATCATGACATCAAAACAGTCCAATGGCCCGTTACGTTCCAGAGATTATTAACTTAGAGTGTTCTTATCTCTTTCTTGTGCTGATTTTAGTAATATTCTTTTTTTTCTTTGCCCCCCTTTCCTCCCTTTTTTGGGATAAGACTGTCTTGTACTTTTTCTAGGTAAAGGATATAATAAACTAAACTGCAGATAGTCCATAGTTTGCCACCATGTTTTGAAATAACCTCTGTTTAAAAATATCTTCAGGTAAAAACGAAATAATATTTTATTTGGCCTGGTTTATATAGGTGGCTATCCTGTACACTTTATTCTCTTGGTGGAGAGTCAGGTCAGACCTAGCAGGAAGAGTTTTTTTTTTCTTGGTTGTTAACACTGTAAAATTTTTTTGCCCATTTATTTATACAGCAAATATTTATGGAATGCTGGGCCCTGTGCTGGGTTCTGAGGACGTGGGGAGAGATAAGCCATATTGCCCCGTGCTTTTGTACCTGGGATCTCACTTAAATATCACCCCAAATTTGTGACGCAGGGTGGGCGGAGTCTTAGCTTGACGTGGCAGGTGCCAAATGGAGGCACGAAGGAACGAGAGACTCACTCGGGTAGTGTGAGGTGAACCGGAAGTGGGGTGCTTGCTGGGTGGCCTCCGTGACCCGACCCTGGGCTGGCGAGGGGAGCGCCTGAGGGTCTCTGACTCCACCATAAGCACGGACCCGAGCTGGGTGCGGTCTGTCTGGACCCTGAGATGTGGCCGGGGCCGCAGAAGTCCCGAAGAGTAAACCCGAAACCTGTGGTTGGGATCCTCTCCACCACCGAGGTTCTGGGCGGAACCGAACACGCTGCTCTCCGCGTCCCGCGGGCCCCTCAGTCCGCTGGGGTGGGCTCCCCAGCTCGCCCATCTCACCGCTCCCTGAGCCCTGGCGGGGGCAGAACGCAGCCCGTGCAGCCCTGAGGCGAGCTCAGGCCTGGCTGTATCAAAGGGACACAGGATCCGCTCTGCCGCGGACCCTGGCGGGCACCGCCTCCACCCCAGGACCCCTGCTTCCTCTTGCTCTTTCCTCTCCTTTCCTGTGCGTATTGTTCTCCATCTGTGTCCCTGGTCGGAATACATGCTCCTTCCGGGCAGGGACTCCGTCGTCCAGTAACTGAGCAGGGCGGATTCCTGGAAGGGGCTGCGAGCAGTCAGTACTCGCTGCCAGCGACTGGAAGATGAGGCCTGCGCCAGAAAGCTCCCCAGCCCCATAGACAGACAGATTGGAAAATGCAGGCGAAGGGTGACCTTCCTCCCAACGGATTTATTGATTTGTATCAATAATCAATCAGGGGCTTGAAGTTTCCAAACATAAAGTAAAAAAGTAATGATAAAACCACGGAGATGGTAGTTGCCTTGGTTTGATTGGTACGCGTCCTATAGCTGTTGAGATAGCGCACTGCATGCCATGGATACTTACAATTTTACACCTTAATGAAAAAGTTTCAAAAATGTTCAAAGAGATGGAAATGCTAATTAATCTGATTTGATCATGACATGTTGGATATATGGATCAAATGATCACATT